CTAAGAAAGTATTATCTGATCGACAAGTTAATAAAAACATTGTTTCATATTCAACTACATCTTAATTTGCCAAGAACATCGCTTTCTCCATAATAAATATTTTATGTTAATTTTAATAGGACATTGGTAAAAGTGAAACTTGACTGCGAATTCCAGTTATATGTTTATCTGTGTTTTTATCTCATTGAATTATATTCGGTATTCATACTAATACTTGTATTTTTTGTTTCTTCTACTTTCACCACTCAGCGGGCGAACCGATTGTAATAAGTATAATTTTGTATGAGCATAACTTGAAAAAAAAAATATTCTATTAAAAAAAAATCAATTCCCCGCTGGAAAAAACGAGATGCAAACGATTGGTATTATGACAAATCGTATGAAGTACTTTGTTGTAAAAAGTTGACATTTAATCATCGGTCAATAAAGTCCAATACACACATACACAATCCCATGCAAAAGTTCTCTTAAAACTGTCACCAATTGTGTTAGGTAATTTATCTAGTTGAAATAAATATACAACGATGTAAAGTGAACCTTAAATGCCATATTTCAAGTTTTCACAAAAAAAAATACATTAAAAGCGCGCTCAAATATTCAAATGGGCGCTCATTCGGCTAGGACAATTATTGTCACTGATTGTGTATCTAGTACTTTTTTGATCGATGCATTTAATATATACAACAGATAAAGGAAATTGAAGTGTCTGTTTGTAATATCAAAATAACAGGTTTTTACTAAATGCATATGAAATTATATACTTATAAGAAAAACACCACTTATAAAATTTTTGTCTGTCTGTCTGTTTGTTCCGCCTAATCTTCGAAACGGCTGGACCTATTTTAACGGGAATTTCACAGATAGCTGAAGTAAATGATAGCTGTATGATAGCTGAATTTCAAGTATAATGCAGAAGGGTCTGAACATTGTCAGTGACTGGTGTGTTAGAAATGACCTATCAGTCAACGCTGACAAAACTGTCATTGTGCCCTTTACAAACAAGCGAAGGTTAGACAAACTAGTCATGCCAAAGCTTAATGGCAAACAAATCGCATTTTCCACGCAAGTCAAATACTTGGGACTAACATTAGACCAAAAACTGACGTGGAACCCGCATCTAACTGCAGTCCTAAGTAAAGCCAAGATGGCATTGGGAATAAGTGGCCGCATGTTGGGTAAAAATTGGGGGTTAAATCCCAAAAACACACTTTGGACTTACACTGCTATTGTGAGGCCAATTATCACGTATGCATCGGTAGCCTGGTCCAATAAGGCCAAACAGACGACAGCCATTCAAAAACTAGACAGCCTACAAAGAACAGCCTGTCTAATGACCACAGGAGCCATGTCTACGTGCCCTGGTCAGGCACTAAATGCATTACTCGGGCTGCCACCTTTAGACCTTTTTATACAAAAGGAGGCAAAAGCCAGCATGCATAGAGCTAAAATCCAAGGCAGAACTCATTGGCTCTCACGAAAAATGAGGACCCTACAGGACTCATTACAAGAAATGCCGCTACTTGGTATGACGACTGATGCCATGTTAATTCGGCACTCATTTGTAAAGTATTATACAATTGAATTTCCGTCAAGGGAAGACTGGACTAAAAGCCAGGTAATCCATAAAAACGGATCTCTCATCTGGTTTACAGATGGCTCAAAAATAGAAGCAAAGGTTGGCTGTGGGATATATGGAGAGCGACCGAGGTTTAGCAAAAGCATACACCTCGGACAATTTGCCTCTATTTTCCAAGCAGAAGTCTATGCCATTCTAGAATGTGTAGAAGCTAATTTGTCTAAGCACTACACAAATCAAACTATCTATATAAATTCAGATAGTCAAGCTGCACTACTAGCGCTGGACTCAAACATAGTCTCATCAAAGTTAGTGGAGCAGTGCATGGACCGACTAAACCTCTTAGCAAGAAGTAACAAAGTAGTGCTAAGATGGGTACCGGGTCATGCAGGTGTAATTGGCAACGAGTGTGCCGATAAGCTCGCTAGAGGGGGAGCTCTTGGCATACAGCAGGGCCCTGAGCCCTTCTGTGGGATACCTAAGAGCCTAGTTCAAAGAACCCTAATGATAGCATGTCTTAAGACTGCAAACAAAACCTGGACTGAATCAAATGGAATGAATCACTCCAAGGCATTAATTAGAGCCTACGACAAAAGGTTTAACAATCTTATGCTAGGGCTAAACAGAAAAACCTTACGAATACTGGTAAGGGCCTTTACTGGACACTGCTGCTTAAATAAGCACATGTTCAACCTGGGGCTGAGCGAAACGCGAACCTGCAGAATTTGCAGGGAGGCAGACGAAACGCCACTGCATCTTCTGTGGGAATGTGGACCGCTCATGCACAAACGTAGTATTCATCTAGGTAAACAATTTCCAAGCCTAGATGAAATAAAAGAGTGTAACCCTAAGAAAATCCTGCAGTTCTTAACATCAGCAGGGTTTAGTGGTTCACTCTAGTACAATATGGCGGAGATCACAATAGACCAGAAATGGTCGCAGTGATATAAAAAGCCGCCAAACAGAAATAAAAAAAAAAAAAAAAAAAATGATAGCTGATAGTATGTGGACTTTTATTTTAAAAAAAGAATTAGGATTCCACTCAAAAAATTAAAACGTACTTAGGGATGCACCCAAATAAAGCGAAGGTATGTAAGTGTAATATGAATGAAAAAACACTAAAAATATATATAAAATATATGTTTCACTTTTTCATTCGGATTTGAAATTATAGTCTAGTATTAAGTTGAACCTTGTCAAAGGAACATTAATCTGCCGCGGAAATCGAACGTGTGACATTCACCTTAAAAGACGGTAACAGGCATACTATGCAACTGTGTTTCATCTAATCGAACAATATAAAGCCTCTTTAAAATATACCTAATAAATAAATTATATTTTCTTCGTACGTGCGGTAGGTACATTAGAAATAACCAATGTTTCAGGGATATTATAGCTCTCTCAATGAAATCATTTTTATTTGAATTTTATATTTATATAGCTTTAACAATCAAATAAAATTTATTTATTATATAGTGTAATAGGGAATATGCGTGATTTATATATAATTGTAAAAAATATGTAACTCCAAAAAACTAAAATTTAGTAAAAAAAATGTATCATACCGATACGTATATTTTAAACGCCCGTCATTTCGCACACTTGGCGTGACGTCATAGTATGATATATATTCGTACACACTAAATAGAAAAATTATGACTCAATTTGTAAACGACAAAATCACTAATCACTTTTGTTATGATATACTCTGACGTCATATTCGCTCTGACCAATGGCTTTCGTTTCAACTTTGAATTTATTACCTTAATCAATAAGAAATTACATTAAAAATATTGACATTGGCTTAATTCAAGAGCGCTAAAGATTATAAAAAAAATACCTTTATTTAAATCACACGTACCTACTTATATTCCCTATCATAACATTGCATCATGTCTTTTATATAATTTTCCTCATTCGTAAACATTCCAAGCGCTAATTTTGTATGGAATGCACATATTATCTTCGTGAAGATGGTCAATAAACCTTGCCATTAAATAATAGTTATGTAATAACTTTTAAAACAATAAATGAATTAAAGTCGGTATTTTGTTTTAATAATAATATGTCACTAAAAAAATGTATCTATCATAATCGGAACAGCAGTATGAGTATCTGTCAAATGAATGCACCCACATCTGAACTAACAAGTACACACACACACACACACACACACACACACACACACACACATACCAACAAAAACTCGCGCGCGCGCGCACACACATACACACATTTTTTTCAGTAACTAACAATACCTTTACTTACAACAACTAGTAATATTATAAAATAATATATTTTCACATAAATATAATATTAGCTATTACTCGTATAGTATTATGTGCTCTGTGATATTAGTACGGAAAATAATTTAACTTATATTTTAGGATGATTATAACATTGCTCTTACAATTACACTAGTCAATGCTTGCTTGCTACTTTTTTGCTGATGGGAAATACCATTTCTAGCTAGTCGTAAATATTTATCTTCATATAGCGTCTTACCCTTGCTTCGCTCGGGTTTGTTCCAAGGTACTTTGAATTGCATAACTTTTTTATTTAAGAACCGATTGAAATAAAACAAATACTAAACTGTAAGTGAAGTTTACCACAATACATTAGTGAAAACCGTACCCAAATCGGTTTAGCCGTTTTTGAGATTAGCGCGTACAAACGTACAGACAAACAGACAAAAATTTTAATACTTTTGGTCACTGTCACGGTGTTGGTGTCGATTATGTTAATAAGGACTCCAATAAGAATTATTCTCAAATATTTTTTGGATATCTCCCATATTATTTATACATATAATAATACAGTAACTTAGCGAAATCGATGTGCGCGTTTCACTTAAAAAGTACTGAACCGATTTTAACAAAAAATTGTGAAGTGATAACTTATTACTCGAGGCATCGTTTAGGATACCTTTTACTACAGAAAAATCTTTCATTCCCAAGGAAAAACACAATAACTGGATATGTCGAGTCGTCCTTAGAAATTTATATGGCTAACGTTGGCTAAACCTTAAGTATACATCAAAATAATGTACTAGAAAATTATAGGTCTTAAAAATGCCTACAGAAAAGTCCCCAAATCTGCTGAACCGATTTAAACATGGTATGAAGATATTTTGAGATCCCGGAAAGGACATAGGATAGTTTTTATTCCGGAACCCATTCCTTAAGGGGGTGAAAAGGGGAATGAAAGTTTGTTAGGGGAGTCAATCATTTCTCAAGTAAAGGATATAAAACTCATCATACCTATGTATATAAATATACTAATAAATAGTCTATCATCCCATATATCCATACTTACCTTTAAAACGTCTCTAGGGACGAACCCATGCGAAGTGGGGGTGAGTCGCTAGTAATATATAAAATTTGGAATTATGAGTATAGAATAATGGTATCGTAGAAAATACTTACACAAAAAATAAGAGGGCTACAACAGTAAGAGCCGCGTCGACTAAATAAAAAGCACCAGGAAAGGTCTCTATTGTATGCACGTAAATGGCGCTGGACGTTGGCATGTATATAATAGGTGCTATTGACTCCATTACACCCATCACAGAATTGAGTTTTGCTGAAACAAATATACATATATACATACAAAATCTTTCAAAACCATATATCTTTATATAAGTGGAAACGCAAAGTAAGAGATGCAAGCGTATGAATTAATTTATCGGTTGAACATAAAAATATGAGTGGTAAATATGGAGGAGGCGCGCACATGGCAAGTAGGAAAACAGGTAAAAATATTAAAATGTTCATCGCATAATTTCGAACTAGTTAATATTTTATTAATCACTAGCGATTTATTCTCGCTTCGTTCGGATTCGCGAGTTTTGTTCACACCTTCATGGGTTTTAATTTTTTGAGCAGAACTCTAATTCTTTTTCTAAAATAAAAGAAGACTAAGATACTCCTTATAGCATCAGCTATCTGCAGTAAAATTCCTGTTAAAATCGGTATAGCAGTTTCAAGAGACAGGCAGTCAGATAGATGAAAAATTTAAAAATTGTTTTTTTCTTATATAAGTTCCGTATACCTATAGTTTCATATGTACATATTTAGTAAAAAATTCTTATTTTAATATGACAAACAGATACTTCAAATTTATGTATCTGTATAAAGAATAGAGTATAAAGTTATAAAATACATAAAAACTTATATTTATCAAAACATCACCAACAATAACAACAAGCTAGGTTGACAAACCTATTAATGGAGATTACATTTCCCTAGTGGCTGATTTCGAAACTAACGAACGCACTTACAGTATGATATTGTTAATTAGTTTATCATCTACGCATACTATGATCAATACTTTTATACATTTTATACGTAAGTTTATAGGTCGAACGTACTTCTGTGACTTGCTGGCAAAGAATCTGCTCACTGGTGAAAGTGGCTGCCAAGTTTACAGTAGACTAACTTAAATGCAGAATTTTAAGGTAATCGCTACTTATGCTACTTTTTAATTTGATTAATAAATATTTTTAAGGTTCCATAGATTTGATAAAAATATAATATAAAAAATAGTATGTATGTATTACTCTTCTTTTATCAGTTAAATCGCTGCTTTCAAATAACATAACTTTTAAAATAATTAAATTCTTATTTTATTTTGATTTAAGTCAAATTAAATATATTGCTTTCACGTAATATACAAAATTATTGATATATGATAAGACAAATACTAAGAATATTTATTTATCTCGATATAAAACTTACTAAGGAAATAATTTGCGCTTTATATAACATAGTAACATACGAGTAATTCTATGTAACACTTTTCATTAGGCGACGATTGCGCAAAAATACGTAATTACGATGCGACAAGAAGTTAGCGAGCTTACTGCATCTTTTATATCAAGTAAAATAGAGAATCGCTATCACTACAGATACTATGTATGCTAAAAGTAGGCGGTGTTTCACCCCCGTGCCTCGGAGAGAACTTAAAGCCGTCGGTCCTGCGCCGACACTCTCACTGGTCGTGACGAGTGGTCGTCCCACCGGAGTGAGAGTGATAGGAATAGAGAGTGCACTTGTGTCTGCGCGTACATGCGCTGCACTATAATATCTCCTGCGCAGTTGGCTAGTCTCAATGAGATTGGCCGCAGTGGCCGAAATCGGTCAGGAGAATATCATCACTATATATGCTATTTCATTCGTGGATTTAATTTGATTTTTGGTTCCTGACGTTTCGAGCGCTTTACAGCAATCATCGTCACGGGAGAGGCAGTCCCTCGTCAGACCGTGACCAAAAGCAAAATATGTAAATCCGCGATAATATTTTAAAATGTTAGCAGGTATAGAAGAAATAGAAATTCGTAAAATACCCCCTATGCCCAGCTACCCCCGAGAAATGGGGGGACACAAAGCGTTAAAAAATAGTTTTTTTTCAATTTCTGGCTTACTGTGACGTTCAATAGAAAAATGTTTTTTACAAAAGTTGTAGGTACTTTTATAAGTAACACTTTTTACAATAACCTTAAAATTTTCGAGATATTTGCAGAAAACTCGGTTTTTAACGTTTTCTTGTTTTTTTATTTTTAATTTCTAGAACAATCTTTTGATTTTCATAAAACTAAGGGAATGTATTCTTCGAAATACATGTAATAAATAAAAAACTTGAAATTTTGAACCATTTCCGAGAAAAATATGTTTTATGGTCTCGAAAGACTAAAAATCACCCCCAACTTCAAGTGGACGTTAACTTTTAAAAAAATAAATTCGTACAATTTTCGAATAGGGCTCGTTCTTTTTCTTTTGAACTCTACTTTTGGAAAAAATAAAAACATTGTATAGTCGTCCTGTAAAAACACCCTTAAAAATTTAAAAAATCGGAGAAATTGATAATTTTTACTTTGTAAACTACATTTTTTTCAATTATCATTGAAGAAGTGTACTTTATTGATCATTTTTTTATAAACTGACTACATCAACGTTCATATCATAAGGATCACTATGGAAATCATGAATTGCCATTTTGTAACGTCAGCCATATTGGATATAAATGGCTCTATACTAAACTAACTTCATACAATATATACAACATAACTTCATACATATAGTCTTAATCTGTCACATCGTAAAAAATCAGTCTTATTATTTTTTTTATGCGACAAAAGAAGTATAACTTCAAAAGAAGACTAAAAATTAATTTGTCCGTGCAAAGAAACATATACTGGGACTATTGAAGAAGACACATGGTAGTGGTCAGTAAAAATCTATATTTATAAAACAAAGTCGGGTTTGTTACAATACTTATAACTGGAGAACTGTTGGACCGATTTTGATGATCTTTGATTTGTTGGATTTATCTCCGCTCCGAATAGCAGAATACTTAACTACTAAAACATCGGAAATTCACGAAAAAAAATTATGTTACATGGCTAGTGCCGGATAATAACTATTTATATCTATTTAAAACGCACCTACGCTAGTATTTAATAAACCAAATAGACCGCTAAGCTATAACACAAATTGCTTAACTTCAATTACCTACCTACTACGTGTTTAGAAATGTTAGTAGTTACACTAATCGAAATATCTTCTAGAAATAAACTGGTTACACGTATTTATGTATCGTAATAAACTAAGGTATTTATGCAACTGTATAATAAAGGAGTAACGGGGTTTTAATTGTTGAAAGTTTATGCTGAGGAGACATAAGAGATAGTGCTCATGTAAACGATGAAATATTTACTGAGTCTATTTCTTGTTATGTGACTTATAAATATAGCTTATATTTATTATAGAAATAACATATAAATATTAAATATTATAAATCATGCCTAAGTTTTTCTGGCCGCTCTTCTCAGATCTATTGGTTTATCTCATTGATCAAACGTTGGATGAATAGACAGACTGATTGGATTCGGTCATTTTCAACTGATTGTAGACTCATAAAATGTTTAGAGAGTGATTTTTAAAACTGAATAATTTTATTTTCCTTAATTTTAAATAATTTACTTAGCTCAGCTTGTAGGTGACCTTCCATTACTATATGATCGTATACGTAAGTACATGTATGTACTACATGCGTATGTGAAATCAGGTTGTAGCAAATAAAAAGATATTTAAAAACATCACCCATTCATCTGTATATACGTGGCATAAAAAGTTCCTTGAAAATTACACTCACCTAAAGAACAGTCACATATTTTCGTAAAGAAATATTTTTTACGTTTAAAAATAGTTCCAATAAACAAGCATATTATAGGAAAACTGCATGTCAGTCCTTATAGACAACAACCTATTACTTAAGTTACACTAGAGCCTAAATGTATCTAAAAAAATTACCGATTGATTGATCTGTGCACAAAAGAAGGAAAAACTATATAAAAAAAATCGTTATTTGTTATTGTTAAATCCCTACATGATCTAAAAAATCTACATATGGAATATATAAAGGAGTAGAGTAAAAACCTATTATAGTAAGTATAATATAAATATGTATTTTGGCAATGCTCCCAGCGGGACTCGAACCCGCGACAGCTGGCACAGCAAGTAGGGTCACTACAAACTGAGCCAAACGTGTCGTCAATAATTAATATATCATAGTATCAACATGTAACATACCGATTTCTTCCACAGGTACTATTTTTGTTGCAATGGATCTCACAGCAGTTAAACCAGTGTGACTGAAGATATTGAATATTGGCGCCGAGTAATACCACATCCTATTGGGAGCCAGACTAAGGACTAAGCATCCTGCTATCCTGCTGATCCCTGCCATTCCACCGATAATGCTGTCTTGCACATCTAGTTTCTTGGAAATGACGGTTATACAGAAAAATGTACCTATGGAAAAAATCAAAATAGGTTAGTTGTGCTAATATAGGAATAGCTATTGAGGTTAAAAAGCTTCATATTTTGCTTTTTAGTTTCTTTTGGGTATCTTGAAGTATTTGTTGAAAAGTTTTATTTTTTGTGTTTACAATCTACTAATTTATATAATTATTATAAATTACGTATTTTGATTGATGTATATAATATGGGACCAACGATGTATATAATATAACCTATCCAATAAAAAAATCGAATCCAATAAAAACTTATTTCAATTATAAATAAGTAAACTCAAATATAATTCTCTATATCGTATGTAATTTTCCAACATACAGACAGATAACAAATCCAAACTGTGATTTGTTATTATTTATTTATTCCACTAGCATTATCCGCGGCTCCGCCCACGTTCAGGTGACCAAAAACCAAATTCTTAGGTTTTACATATTACTATACTCTTACACTGCAGTTTTTGTATTTTTTCTCAGAAATGATACATTTTCCCGCGGTAAAGTATCCTATATGTTGACCCGGATAACCAGCTATCATCATACCAAATTTCAACAAAATCGGTCCAGTAGTTTCCTCGTGATACGGTAACAGGCAGACAGACAGACAAAAATTCTAAAAACTATAGTTTCGGCCTCTGTTTCGATAATAATGTTTATTTCAATAAGATAATCCAAAAAATATTTATTGTACAGATTCAGCTCAGTTAGAATTTTATTATAAGTATAGATAACTCGTATTACACTGCATTGCTACACAACAGTTTTCACATTCCAATAGTACGAGTAATCCCTCAATATTACAAGTGAAATGTTTTACAAACCCTTTTATCTGATTGCTTATTTCATTGAGGTAAACCGCATGCAAAAACATTTAATTAAATTAACAATTATCAATTTATTTTTGAATTCCTATTGGGAAAACCTTGCCACGATTGAATGTTCGATATTCTTCTGAAATATTCAAGAGTTAGAGCGAAATATTATCAGATATTTTTTAGTATCAAAAATAAAATAAACTTAGAAGTATTTATGTCTAAAACCTGCTATAAAGATATATGTTTTAAAATATCTTACTTTTTATTTTATTATTTCACTCTTTACAATATTTTCCGTCCATTAAATAAAATCTATTGCATTATTTCAATTACATGTAGGAAATTAAATCTATAAAATGATATTATATCGATCTCCGAAACTATTTGTAATTTCAGCTATCCACGCATTGTACTGATAGAATGACTGTTTTGTATCAAATATTTATAAAAAATACTAGCAGAACCCGCGGCTTCGCTCGTGCTAAAACTACAAAAAAATCTCTAAAAAGTAATTTAGTTTAGTGTAGTATAGCATGAATTTCAAAAAATGCTAAATACGTACTTATTTAATTTTATCGAAGAGCATTAATACCAAGTTTCAAGTAATTCTAATCATTAATATTTTTTTGATTTGTATTATAACGTGTTTTCCCGCGGGAATTGGATAATTCCCCGCGGTAAAAAGTAGCCTATATCACTCTCCAGCCCTCCAACTATCTCCACACAAAAAATCACGATAATCCTTCCCTCCGTTTCGACGTGAAAAAAAAGACAAACAAACACACTTTCACATTTATAATATTAGTATAGATGTATAAGTTATAAAAGTTTGAAAAATATGTATATAATATTTCCCTCGCAATTAATTGAACTAGTAGTTCACGCAGTGTTCGAAATTCGACTATAATCACTATTCACCTACCAACATATATAAAAAACTGTTACTTAATTTTTTTTATTGATAACAAAAGCTCACCAATAGCTATTAATCAAAAAGAAGAAAAGGTACCGAACTTGTTTGTCATTGCTTATTTATATATAGATTAGTGTTGCCCAAACGCAAGAACAAGACGAGACTTAGCCAGTCTTGGTCTTGGTCTTGCGCCAATACACCTGGTCTTGGTCTTGGTCTTGCGCTCCCAGTCTTGGTCTTGGTCTTGGTCTTGCAGCAAGAGTCTTGCAAGTCTTGCAATTACCTATTAGTCTATTACTATTTATTAAAGTTTACTTTAAATCCTAGAAAAACGTATTAGAATTGGAACATTGTGAGCTTGAATGAATATAGCCATAGTAAAGATCAAGCAGATTAATAAATAACTGAAGATTTGATAAGAAATTCGAAAAATCAACTGACCTATATGTCGTTTTCCATGGAAGTAACTGTTTCTTAATAAACATTTATGATTTATAAGCTTACATTTGCTAAAACATGTAAAAAAACAAATTAATTACAATAACTTGACTGTATTTTAAAGAACAATACTTATCTGTCTAAAAAGAGATTGAACCCTCAACTTATAAGAAATTTAATAAAAGAGTTTTACGATTTATCATTTATTTGAATAAAAAATAAAATACAACACAAATCAACAGCTTTATCATTAGCGGCAAATTTCTTTGAGAAGTAAGTACAAAACCTTTGATGCCGCATTATCAAAGTGCCGATGGTTAAAACATAACTATGCATGCACTCAGTTTGATTTTAATAATTTTTTTATTCGCTATGTTTATGGTATTAGTCGTAATGCGCATAGGTCCAGTTTTTCATATTCTTTGATACAGTTTTTTGCGTCTCATAGAATTCCTAAGCGTACCTATACACCGAACTGTTACACCTAACTACTCAGTGAAATAGCGCTAAGTCCTAGCTGCAAGACGCAAGAGTCTTGCAGGCTATGTCTTGTTCTTGCTCAAGTCTTGCACGGTCAGTCTTGGTCTTGGTCTTGCTAAAAATACGCGGTCTTGTTCTTGGTCTTGGTCTTGCAAAAACGCAAGAACAAGACCAAGACTGCAAGACCAAGACTGAATTTGGGCAACACTAATATAGATACTCGTATCTTACCAAAGTAAAAGTTGAATAAAAATATAAAGAAAAATATACAATTAATTATAAACGGAATAAAGAACATAATTTAGAAATCCAAGATTAGTTAAATAATTGGTACATATGACTTAAGGTTAAGGACTAAATACTTTCTTAGATTTACGCGAATATTTGACATTTTGAATAATACTATCTTTTCGGATTATTTCGCGAATTTATTTTGATTTTTGGTTTCCGACGTTTCGAATGCTTTGTAGCAATTATGGTCACGGGAGACATTAAGGTTACAGATGTCTCAAAGGCGTGATATACTTCTTACAGAAGTGCCTACCTACTATTGTACAAAAATGATTTTAAAAATACAAAAATGGCAATAAAGTACCTTACAATAATTGTTGATTTTTATTTCTAAACATTTTAATATATTTTTTTCAATAAGTATTATAATTAAATATAGCAATAGTATTTATTTAATTTTAGCTGGTATTATTATAAACTTTACAATTTTTAAAAAACTTTAATAAGTTTTTACCTTAGTCTCTCCCGTCTTTTTTTTAACCTCAGTCTCTCTCGTGACCATGATTGCTGTAAAGCATTCAAAACTTCGGGAACCAAAAATCAAAATAAAATCAAAAATGTTAAGGATTTAAGTTCAAATTATTGATATTTGGAAATACACTCTACATAATATGTATATTCTAAGAAGAAAATAATAAAGATACGCTTTGGGTATAATATTTTGCTAATTCTAATGGAATTAATAATAGTATGGATATACAAGAACTGCTCATATAACATTAAAAGGTTAGATTATTTACTTTCATATATTTATACTTTCCGCCATATTCTCGGAATAATCCGACATAAGTCAAACCTATCCCACGGGGACCGTACATTTTTCCGGGATAAAAAGTTACCTTGGTGTTGTATTCCAAACTATAATCTATCTCTGTGTGCCAAATTTCATCCAGGTCAGTTCAGCCGTTCTGGCGTGAAAGAGTAACAAACATACATCCATACATACATTCTTACAAACTTTCGCGCTTATAACATTAGTAGGATACTCTTTTTGATCAAAATATCCACCCGTACATCCGTATCATCATGATTAGGTACATTTGAAACTGACCTACCACATTATCTAACGGTCAAACTGGCATAATGAACTGTGACCTAAGCAATATTTTTGTGATAAATAATAATTGATATTATAACAAAATATTATAAGATTGTTTTAATTTAATAGCCATTACCCGCGGCCTGGTGTACGATTGATAAACGCAAAATGGCATAAATGAATTCTAATCCTAACTTCAAATATTCTAACTATAATTATGGTCAGTAGAAAAAAAAATAACACTATGTCGATCTTTTTGTGTTAATGTTGTAATTATTAATTTCATATGTCCATTTTGTCTGCCTCCGTATGCAAATATTTAACAAAAATCTTTTTAGGGGGTGTCCATTAATCACGTGATCTTTTTTTAGCATTTTTTAACCCCCCCTCCCCCATTGGTGATACGTAGTGAGGTTTAAGACCACCCCCCCTCCCCCTTCTCAACATCACGTGTATTTTTAGTACCTACAACGAATCTTAAAATTTTCTGAATATTATCTTAATTTAAATACCTGTATTTATTGTACTGTATTAAACTATAATCTTATTTTATTCTGAAATTAAGGACCATAATAAAAATGTCTACACCAGGTTGCAAGTTTTTTTTTATTGCCATAACAATGATAATAAACGAAGAGTGTAATCATAGGAAAAACATGTATTGTACTAGTACATGAATATATTTAATGTATATTGTCCTCGAACCACGGATTAGCAAGACATTCTTCAACACTAACAACTGGATAAGCGTCTTGCAGGTGTTTGACGAAAAAATAAATACACGAGATATCTTACTACACCCCCCCCCCCTCCCCCTTGTGTTATTTTCGTGATTTTTATCAAACCCCTCCCCCCCCTTTCAAGCCTCACGTGATTAATGGACAACCCCTTAACCATTCATTCATTATTCACCTTAAAATATTTTTGTAAAATATATTATATAAATGATTACTCATAAGTTATAGGAAAATTAATTTATTATATGTATAATTATTTTCATCATAAAATGAGTAGGAAAGAAGATATTATCAAAAAAATGTTTTTAGACGACATATTTCTAATATGCCCACGCGAGCGGTAAATAATACGAGAAGCCATAGAAATTAAAAAAACATCCAAATTTCAATAGGGAAGATGGCTGGGTGCTACCATCGTCATGAGATCCTGTTATTATTATAATAAAATCTAATAATAAGTCTAAACATAACAGACAGGTAGATGTAGTAAGTTCTTACTGTGTGGATCAAAATGACAGCATTTCAAATTAATACTTTTCATTTTTTCATTTGTAAATGTATGTAGTAATGTGTTGCTTAATAATTTGTCTTTAAATAATAGCAAATAAAAATAAAAATTATTATTTTTAATTCATTTTAACTTTTTAAAATTACACATTACAAGAACAATTATGTGGCTTAAATAATTAATTATTAATATATTATGATTTTTTCTTTATGGTTATAAATATAATAATGGCCACACTAAAAATATAGATTATTAATATTTTTGTTACGGCACCGCTGTCCGTGTCTGTCCGTCCGTCCTTCCGTCTGTCAAAAGGCTGTCTCATGAACCGTAATAGAGAGTTGAAATGTTTACAGAGTGTGTATTTCTGTTGCTGCTATAACAACAAATAATAAAAAACTAAGATGGCGAATATCAAAAAGATTTTATTAATAAGATAATTAATAAAAAGGGGTTACGTACAAAAAACTTAGACTTACCAAATAATCCGAGGACAATGTTGGCTGTCCCGTAAATGCTGTACTCTACTTCATTGAAGTTGAATTTTCGGATCGCATACAAGTAACTGACTTGCGAATCGCCTGGAAAAAGCAGATAAATTAAAGAAAGCTGCGCTTAGTTCAGGTTTTTCTATAATGTTTGAAAATCAGTCAATCAAATTTATTTAGTAAAAGAAAAACATTTAGGAAAATTGATTAAATATTTTAAGCGAATTTGTTAAACCGCGCTTTATCTACACATAAACTGTGGCACAACGATTCCTTAGAAACAATAAGTGTTAGTCCGACACTTGTATACATGAAGTACTTACTTAACGATTACAAGGCTATTTCTCATTAGCTCTATTTGAAAACGTATTAATTGTATTTATTAAGTATTTATTTGGATAGTGAGTAGTATTCTAACTGATACACGAAAGTTTATAATTTATTCGTCTATGGTGTAGCATTTTTAAAGCATGTTAATGTGATCGTAAGCGATAAACGACAAAAAATCAGTCGATTGAAATGATATAAGAAATATTTAAAATAAACCATATATTAGCATTATATATTGATGTTCTGCCTCGGTGGTGTAGTGGCTAGCATGTACGGCTGCACACCCGGAGGTCCTGGGTTCGAGTCCCGGGTCGGGCCAAGTTTAGTTATTGAGTCTTTCTGTATAGCAAGTCTCAGTAACAGCCCGAAGTTGGGAAGTTGGCGGTGTTTCACCCCCGTGCCTCGGAGAGCACGTAAAGCCGTCGGTCCTGCGCCTTAACTCTCACCGGTCGTGTCGAGTGGTCGTCCCACCGGAGTATGAGAGTGACAGGAATAGAGAGTGCACTTGTGTCTGCGCGTACACTTGAGCACTATAATATCTCCTGCGCAATCTCAATGAGATTGGCCGCCGTAGCCGGAATCGGCTAGGAGAGAACATATTGATGTTACAATGTTATGTTTGTTCTTATTATATGTATAATATTTCATTTAGTTAATTATTTAGAAATATAATATAAGAAATATTGTATTATATTTAAATAAAATTATTGAAGTGAAAACTTCTATAGGCAGGTTTGGATGGGGAGTAAATTCATGCAAGTCGTCATCGACATGGTCACATGACGTGTTAACGCTAAAACTCGAGTGCCGATAGATGTCTAAACCAGATAAATGTAAACAGTTTTAATTTACAAATTTTAATTAGATCAAACAATTAATTTGAATATCCAAAAATAACAACTGTTTGTTTATAGTTTTAAGTTTCTTCGTCGGCAGTCGTCATGACTGCTTTTTTATTTTACTTTTCCAGCCAAAATTTTAATAATCATCTATCTACCCTCTCTATATTACGTACAATTTATTTACATCACTCTCGTAGCTGCTCTGAAAAGTCTACAAAAGTCCCGACATAATCGATTGAGCCGTACCGGATATTAACTGACGTAGTTTAACAATAACGGATTTTCATACCTATCGAGCCGTCTTTTCTATCTAAACTTGGTTGAATTTTCAAAAATCGTTTCTTATTTATCTTTTCCATTTAAGGAATCCACCTGCTAAATTTCAAGTTTGGCGCATTTTCATTATAATCAGTGAATCATATATCGCTTTTATATATGTACAATGTACATACATATATTTTATACCTACATATATATTCTAATAGTGAATATAATATTAGACACATAAAATCTGAATTGTTATCGATCAATTACCATAATGAATCAACATGGTTTTTTTATTAAATTATTTTTAAGCTCATAAAGAATTATAAATTACTTTAGTTGATCTATTCGCTTAAATCCATACTTCCATACTAATATTATAAATGTGAAAGTGTGTTTGTTTGTTTATCTTTCTTTCACTACGAAATGGCTTGGCGTGACTTTTAATCCCGGGAGATTATCTCTTTACCACGAGAAAACACGTTATAATACAATCCAAAAAAATATTTATGATCAGAATTACTTGAAACTTGGTATTCATACTCTTCAATACAATTAATTAAATACGTGTTTTAGCATTTTTTGAAATTTATTATATAAGTGGGTAAAATAGCGGATGAAAGTTTGTATGAAACCTACTATTTTAAGAGTTTTTTTGTAGTATCAGCGCGAGCAAAGCCGCGGGTTCTGCTAGTCTATACTAATATTATAAAGAGGTAAAGTTTGTGATCTTGTGAGTTTGTGAGTTTGTGGGTTTGTGAGTTTGTGAGTTTGTGACGTTGTAAGGGGTAATCTCTGGATCTACTGAACCGATTTTCAAAATTCTTTTACCAATAGAAAGCCACGTTCTTTCTGAGTGTCATAGGCAGTGTATATATTAACCCGAAAAATGAAAAGGCTTTTTCGTGGTAGCCGAATTTGCAAAGTAAGTCGGAGAAAAAACGGTCGAACGAAAACGTTTCTGACGAACGCTGTCTTAACGATGAGAGATATATGATTATGTTCTAGAGAAAATTTGTAGAGCTTAATAATGCCTACAGAAAAGTCCGCGACAGCATATGTCTAACTTTTATATTTAAGTCATAAAAAGTAGTTTTTTATATTACAAAAATAAATTAAATCGGTCATGTTTATTGGTCATATTATCAACAATTATGAATTCTTATCAAAATAGGTAAATTTATCGTCTAAAATATTTAAAACAAAAGACTTTTCCCTTTTACTACATATAATTTGGACAAATGGTTAAAAAGATAATACAACATATTCGTAGGTATGGACGAACCCGAGCCAGCTGTTTGTCTGTTTTTCTGTTTGTACAGGCTAATCTCCGATTCTATTGAACCGATTAAAATGAAATTTTGCATGGTGGTACCTTATATCCCCGTGCAACATCTTAGATACTTTTCATCCCGGAAAACTAAAGTGTTCCCGTGGGATAGTTAAAAAACTATAACAATTTATACAGCTTAGTACACAAAAACTACTAATTGGATTTTAATGAATCTTTACAATAATATAGTTCATACATGACAAAAACAAATCAGCTACTTTTCATCCCGAAAAATTAAAGAGTTTTCGTGGGATAGTTAAAAACTATAGTAACTTATACAGCTTAGTACACAACAACTTATTCACCTAATTTAGTAAAATTTGGCATGCTGATACCTTATATTGCCGGTCAAACAACAGGTTACTTTTCATCCCGGAAAAATGAACGGTTCCCGTGGGATAGATCTGTTTGTGCTTTTCTAGAGGTGAACCCGAGCGAAGCGAGGGTGAGCCGCTAGTTATAAATAAACCGCCCGTCTATAGGTACTAGCTAGATACCAATAAAAATACCGATGTTTAATGAGTTCTCCTCACACATGGCATTGGCATGACAATGGGCATATCTTCAAATAAAAATGATATTATATTATTGAAGTTATGTGGTATTACATATTTTATTAATTATAAATATATGTAGATTATTTTTTCTAGTCCTCATGAGTACAGTTGATATCATAGTTAAACATCTAATATATTTAATTTTATTTTATCTTATAAATTAAAATGAATGACTAAATGTGTTGCTAAGCCCAAAACTCGAGTACGGCAGGATCGTGCGTTCACCCCAACGTGCGTTCACCTTGTCGTGGTGGGGGGACTCAGTAGTGCCCGGCAATCCAGCCGGACACGAAGCCAAGAAATGCACAGGGAGGTGGCCCACTTCGGTGGGCGGTGGAAGGTGGCCCTCTTCGTTGGGCGGTGTTCCATGCGGGTTGCTCCTGGTATTTCTCTGATAGCAGAGTGGACCTTGGAGCAACCCCATGGTTGTTGTGGTCTGCTTTGGCTGACCTGCCGTCGAGGCGTCTTAGTTAAATGCGTAAGCGATCCTGCAGCGCCCCATTAAGACGGGGGAAGGTTTTGTTAGGTTTTAGTGGGTAGTACTGGCTTTGCCGGTGAGTCCCACACCTCGTGCGTAAATGCATTTCCCAACGTTAAAAAAAAAGATCGAAGACCGAGAAAGGTTCTTATGAAGAGAAAAATAATAAAAATTATGAATATTGAGATGACGTCATCAAATAGACAAATCTACTTTAGATGTGAGACTTGACTACGGCTGAACCGCAAAGGTCGTGAAGAATGAGTAGACTTATAAATATAAATATAAATAATAAAATATACTTAACTATACCTACATACTTCCAAATATTTATACTATATAAACTATATATCAGATATAAACTATATATAGACCATTTTAATGTCAGCGTTAGCCATGTAAACTTCTAAGGACAACTCGATAAAACCAGTTATTGTGTTTTTACGTGGAATTAAAAAAAAATCTGTAGTAAAAGGTACCCTAAGCGTTGACCTGAATAATAACTTATCACTGCACAAAATTTTATTAAAGCCAGTTCAGTACTTTTTGCGTGAAACGCGCAGAGATGTACAGACAAACAGACAATTTTTTTAAAATAATTAAAAAAAAATTATAACAAGCTTTTATTTAAATACTCTAAAGAGAAGAAAATACACTTTAAATTAAATCAAACCCATCAATTTATTACTTTACACAATTTATATGATTTAATAGTTTGTCGCGAGATTTAAGTACGTACCTATATTATAAAAAAAAAACATTTTTTTAACATTTTGTTTCTTGTTTATCTACACAGGTAAACTTAAGAAAAAAAGACCTTAAGTGTTAAATACTGATTAAAAATTTTAGTGTACATTTAACTTATAATAATTATAATTCAACCTATTTTATCGTCCTAATGGCACGCACGGGCATCCAATGCGAGGGGATCAGGCCATAGTGCACCAAGCGCACCAGTGGCCAAGTGCGAGTTAGTTGATTCGACATAAATACATCCATAATAAATTGTCTTTACATAGTGTAATATATTATCTATACATAAAATACAACTGTAGAGGTCGAATGTCTGTACATAGAAAAAAAATGCTAAAAACTGAGTCAGGGAGATGTAAGAAGAGAAATGGAACAAATCCAGATTGTTTCAATTTTTTGTTTCTGTGTCTGTTTGTACAGGCTAATCTCCGAAATTGTTAAACCGATTTAAATGAAATTTTGCGCATTATAGCCCCGGTTAACATTTTAGATACTTTTCATCTCGGAAAATTTAAGAGTTTCCGTGGGATAGTTAAAAAACTATAGTAACTTATACAGCTTAGTACACAAAAACTACTGATTGGATTTTAATGAAACTTTATAATAATATAGTTTATACATCAGAATAACAAATAGATTACTTTTTATCCCGGAAAATGTAAGGTTTCCATGGGATAGATTGGTTTTAGTTTGTCAGTTTTTTTAGTTTTCAAATAAATGATATCTTACTGTATCGTTTAGTTTTACAAGATAGAAAATATCCGATATCGAAATTCATTACGTGAGTCCCGCATACCGGCATTTTTTCCTTTTAATTAAAAGGATCCTACTATGTTCTAGCAATGTAATTATATGTCCTAACAAACAATTTCTACTTACATTCGTAATAAGAGTTACGTATATATGTATGTATTTATTTATATATACCGGCAATCTCGGAAATGGCTCTAACGATTTCGCAGAAATTTGGTATGTGGGTGTTTTCGGGGGCGAAAAATCGATCTAGATTATTATTACGTCTGGGAAAACGTGTGTTTTCGAGTTTTCATGCGCATTTCGCATTATTCCACGCAAAATATGATCGCTAATTTCGCACGCTCGGGCATTAGCGTCGTGGTCAAGCGGTTAAGGCGATAGGTTGACAATCACAGGTGTCCGGATACGAATCCCGGTCAGATACAAAGTTTTTACTTTTGTTTTTTTATTTATTTAACTGGTAATAGTTATTACAAATAAACTGTCTTCATTTCTTTGTTAAATTATACGCTTAAGCTTTAAACCTTCAGCTTCATACGATAATAAAAGACAAGAAAGTTACATATGCACATGATTGTGGTGTTTATCAATCATTACTACTAATATTAATCACGAAAACAGCTTAATTGCTTTGATTCCTCGTACATTGTTGACTAATCAATGTTGTTTTAATGGATAGTGGTAGCCTGTAGGTAATCGATATTTACTTATTAATTTTATAATTAAGATAAATAGCAATAAGAAACAGTTCATCTTTACAAGGAATGTATTATTATATATGTATTTACTTTCCAATATCAAGTGAGACATAGCAAAAAAGAAAATACTTTAGTTGAAATATTTGTTTACTCTTATTTAATATATATATGTATGTAAATGCCTTGGTGGCCGGTGCCACCAGTCACTTATTTTTTACTTATTAGTTTTTTTTTTGAAAGTCGGTTTTTATTATATATATATTTTTTATTATTAAGAAAGTCCCAGTAACATCCCGGAATTGAAAAGTTTTATCACGTGCCTCGGAGAGCATGTTAAACCGTCGTCTGCGCCTGATCTTTCACCGGTCGTGTCGAATTATCGTCCCATCGGCATTTGAAAATGAAGGGAATGAAGATTGCACTGGTCTCTGTGCATACACTTGGGAACTATAATATCTCCTGTGCAGTTGGCAAGTCTCAGTGAGATTGGTTACCGTGGCCGAAATCGGTAGGAGGACAT